GATAATTGCAGGGAAGGTCATGTGAAGCGTCTGGAACAATGTCTGGAACAGGGCTCAACACACTGGTAGTTTCTTTTTCTCCCCCTGATCGTGACAGGAAGCAAGAGCTGATTGCCTCCTGAAGGAGGAGAAAAGCCCACTAAAAATTCTTCTTTTGTCCTGAAGGCTGTTGAATAGCTTCCCAGAGAGAAATTCCAGCTCTGCCCCACGTAGACAAGTCACCAGGCACATGAACCAGAGCCAAGCGTGAGCTGTGGTGGAGATGAGAGAAGGGAGAAAGTTTCTCCCTGTGGGTGTCAGTGATCTGGACAGACTTCCAGGAAGAGAGCAGGCAGGGACAGAAGGAAGGACAAAAGCCTCCTTTTCTCTCTGAGCGGAGCAGTCCCAAGAGCAATGGAAATGAAGTGAGAGGACAGTACGGACCTGTTTCGCCAGTATGCAAATCATGTAATGAAACACAAATGACTTAGCAAGAACCCAGTGTGACTCACCCCACATCTGACTCTGCTGGTTCAAACCAGAGGAGCCGGCGTGAGTTCAGCCAGACCTCTCTAAAGACGTTTTGTTGGAATTCCACAGGACCCCAGTTTTGAAGCTAGGACTAGGAAAGAGGAGAGAACTCCATTTATGGAGTGAGTTCCCTGTGCTTGGGACTTTCACATACATCATTTTGGGGATGGGGGATCGTGGGCAGGGCATACAGCTTTCTGTTGTAAACTTCCTGTCTACAGTCAGCATTTTATTTTAGCATTTGGAAGAAAAATCTTAGTACAAGAACGAGATTTCATTTTTTAATTTTAACATTTTTTTTTTCAGGAAGGGAGCTTAACTTTATTCGTATTGGCTGTCTTTTCACAATTTTGAGCAGAATAGGTGCTCTCAGCAGGTGTTTGTTTTTTAAATGAATGAATCTCATTACATAAGAGGAAGTAGAACTTCAGAGGACAGTGACTTGTTTAGGGTCCTGCAGGTGGCATGGAACAGAGAAAAGATTCAAGTTTAGTTTTGCTCTGATTGCAAATCAGACCCTTTTCTGCGATGTCACACGGGTGCTTAGAAGTGGATTCCTCCAGCCCAGAGACCTTCAGGCAGCTGGGGAAGTAAAGACAGATAAGTCTTGACCTCTATGAGAGGTCACAGCAATTCAGCCTTTCTGGTTTTGTCCAGTTCTGCTTAACATTTTCCTGACCACCCTTTTGCAGGATGCCTAGGACTTCCCAGAAGCCCCTGCAGAAATTCTGAGTCCCAGCAAGTCTCCTTACTATTTGGTCTGGGACATGGGCCACAGTATCATTGTGGTCAGGAGTGTGACTTCCTCTGGTGAAATGGGAACAAGTGCAGTCGCCTGCCCCTTGTCCTGTCCCCTGGTGCAGGTTTCCAAGGCAGGAGGGTGCTCCAGAAAGTTCTCTCTGGTCATGGTGAGGCCCAGAGAACTGGGCTATGAACCAGCAAAAGCCAATCCATTTAGCAGTAGGATGGGTGGGGCACAGAAGGACTTACCCGATCCTTTGGTCAACCTCAAAGCCCGTTGTGGCCATCTTCTCAGATGAGAAGTAGGCACCACGTGGAGGGTCATTGCCCAATCTTTTGCTTTAGTAATCTACTTGTTTTAGTGAAATCAACCACAGCCATTGAGTAAATCTCATTCACCAAGGCAAAGAGTGATAGGATTTCTGAAGAGCCCATTGAGTGCCTGGTCCTGGGAGTCCGGTTGATCCTGGCAACCCGGAGAGGGAGACACTCTTGTACCTGTTTCTCAGATGAGAAGTTGAGGGACCATCCAATTAGGAAGTGGTAGCATTGGGGTCGTTTCACCCCCAGATTCACCCTCTTCTTGCTGCTCTGCTTTGCCCTGAAGCCCCAGCTGCAGACGCTGGCTGAGGTCAATCCTGAGACCCTGCGCTGGGATTGATGTGTTTGTTACTGACTGTAGCGAGGAGCAAGCTTCAGTGTGGGGCTGGCTGTTCCACATCTGACTGCTTCCCCAAGGCATTCTTTTCCCATGGCCCCTCTCCTTTCTCATTCATAAGCACTCCTTTCCTGAAGATCTTCTGATGACTGGTCTCTTCCTCTCTCCCCAAGTTCCTCTCCTGTATTTATTTATTTATTTTCTTTCCTTAAGCTCCAGCCTTAAGTATCTGAGTCAGTTGAAGGGGAGATGTGTGCCATGTCCGGTCGGGAAACCCACCCTTCCTCTGCCCCACCCTGACTGCCAAGGTCCATGACCTAACCTCTATACAGAGGGGCGGGGAGGAGTTGGAGGATTTTAAATGAGCATTTTATGAGGATCTGCAGATTATTTTATTTGTGAGAAAACCAAAGGCTCAGTGAGATTTTTCTGATGAGCACCTGGCGTTCCTTCTGTCCCCGACCTGGCAAACGGATGGTTGTTTTTTTTTTTGTTTTTTTTTTTTTTTTTAAGATTTTATTTATTTATTTGACAGACAGAGATCACAAGTAGGCAGAGAGTCAGACAGAGGGGGAGGGGGAAGCAGGCTCCCCGCCAAGCAGAGAGCCCAATGCTGGGCTGGATCCCAGGACCCCGGGATCACGACTGGAGATGAAGGCAGAGGCTTTAACCCACTGAGCCACCCAGGCGCCCCGGATGGTTGGTTTTTGCCCCGAGACTTGTGTTAAGTGGGAGCTACGCCAGCGTCATCCCATCCCCACTCCTTGAAGGAAAGGATCTTTTGATTCTCCATTACAGAATCCACTGCTGGCTCATTTCTGCACAAACGAGGGCGTGGCCTTTGACCTACAGGTTATTTGTTATGGTACTGATGGCCTTGCTTAAAATCATGTAATTTTTCACCATTTGCTTATAATAACATTTCCCAATTGTGATTCAGCAGGTAGCTACCCTGTAAACATCAGTAAGTATTGTTGGTGATGAATGTAAGGATTTCCTATGGAGCATTTACCATCTTGTTAAAAGACCCTTAGTATTCCACGGAGTATGGTTTGGGAAAGACTGACTTACTAAGTAAAAGTCAGGTTCCTTAGTTTGATATCCACACCTTTCCTGAGCCCCCGCTTTGCCTCTGTAGCTCTGTGGCTCATCAGTCCCCCCATCCCCACCCTGTGCACCCTCTTCAGCTGTACCGAAAGCTGTGAGGTTCTCCAGAACTCTGGCTTCTAAGCAGTTGCTCTGCCTACATACACACCCCTCCCCGCTGTCCCCTCAACTCCTAGCAAATGCAGATGCATCTTTAGGACTTAAGCCAAGTGCCCCTTCCCCTTAGTAACTGACCTTGGTTTCAGAATTTTCTTCGTAATTCCTAGGAAGCCTGTAAGTGCCCTTGCTCATGTTCGTGGATTCCCCCAACGAATGAATGCTCTGTAGGGCAGGAATTATGGCTTCCCATTTCTGTGTCCTTAGCATCTGTTGGAGTCCCGGGCTTATTTGTGTTTCTTTTCCGGCTAGTTGTATGGTTTGGGCCTTTTAGGTTATTCCTAGCAGAATTTCTTTCAAGTCTTTTTCTCCAAATCTTTTTAGGATGTCCCTAGGATTCGGATGGGATTTACCTATCAACTTTATGAGCTTACAAACTGAGTATTTATAAATAAAAATTCTATCTGTCTATTCAACGTGTCCTTTATGTCCCTTACTTCAGAAAGGGTCCTGTGTAGTTTGTGGTAGGCTGATTACTATTTATCAAATCACCTTGGCTGCTGTGAGTATTTTACCTCTTCTTTTAGATTTTTAACTGATTATATTTTACATACGAGAAACTGTCGATCTTTATTGCTTGTTTAGCAGCTAACCTCAGTGCATTCTTTGTTATTATTTTTCATTTGTTATTCTTAGATTGCCCAAGAATGCATTCGTAGACTTTCATCATGATTATAAAGTTGTCTGCTGTTGTGTAGGCCTGGGTTTTGAAACTGTTTTCCCGGTAGTTGAGAATTCAGAGCTCGGCAGTCTTCCCTCCCTGGCAAGGGTGGCTCCGGAAACTTCCACTTGTCTTTCTACTCAGGTCCAGCCACTGGCTAGCTCCTTCCTGTCCGCCAGAGGGAAGGTGTTCCTTTGTCTCAGGAAGGGCTGAGCCCAGCCTCTGCCGCTGTCCCAGGTCTATCTTGGGGCCATCGGCTCCTCCCCTCCGCTCTCTTCCCCTTTCTCCTGGTCTCCCCCAGTGCCTGCCTTTGATTTGTCGTCGGAAGTTCCCCTTGTCCAGTTGCCTTTTCCCCCTCATTTCCCAAGTTCCCACAGGAACCTGGGAAGTAGATTGTGCCCAGAGGTTAGAACGGAAACTGCAGCAAGATAACTCTGAGGGACAATGCTCAGTTGACGTCATTTCAACTTCTTTGCTTCGGCCAGAGGTGGTTTTTTTTTTCTTCCATTTTTCTTCAGGTTACTCTCCTACTCCACCCAGCCCAGTGTCTGTCAGCCTCTGTGTGAAAGCTCTCTGGCATTGTCTGCTTGCTTTATGTGTTTCCTTATGTTTGAACTCAAAAATCCATAGCTGGGAGTGGTGACTTAGAAACTTGTTCTTTGGTAGAGGTGCTTTCTGTTGAATTGGAAACATCCCTTTTTGACTGTCACGAGAACCTCCTCTATCAGTCCTGCATTTCTTTCCAAGATGGTCCTAAGCAATAAGTAGTATATAGACGGCACCATGCTAGTGTCCAGGGAAACACACAAATGCAGTGCATGAGTCGTCAAGGATTACAGAAGAGAGACCTGTACTCCCCTGGTTACTGTGCTTTCATTAGTTTGACCATGAAGAAGATAAAAGGGAACACACGTTCATGAAGTGTCTAGAATGTGCCGGGCAGTGGGCTCTAGGGCATTCTTTGGCTCTTCTCATTTTTTGTACTTTTTGTTTTTGTATGGGGCTAAGGCTCCAGGTTTGAGTAACTGGAGGTCATATCCAAGTCGAATGCTCTTTACACACCATGTCACCAAAGGTCTAGATGGTTCCACTGAGTGGAAACAGAGTGGGCCTCGACCTGGTGTTCTAATGCACTTAGCGTCTGTTCCTTTTCTTTCCCCTCTCCAGCTGTACCTGCAGGCCCGCTTCACTTGGCGAGGGGCCCGCCTGCTTCGGCCCCTCCTGCAGTTCACCCTGATCATGATGGCCTTTTACACAGGACTGTCGCGTGTGTCTGACCACAAGCACCATCCCAGTGATGTGCTGGCGGGATTTGCTCAAGGAGCCCTGGTGGCCTGCTGCATAGTGAGTAGCATCTTGTTCTCGGTCCACAAGCAAAGCCCCGGATGGCTTGCTCATTCCATGTTTCCAGCCCGGTGACCAAAACTCGCAAGCTCTCAATTCTTTTCTCTGCACGGTGTACCAAGGGTGCCCTCACCCCAGGACCCCTTCAGTAAAAGGACGATACTTTCTGTTTCCTTCCAGCCTGTGAGTTTTCCTTCGGCAGAATCTAAAAGTCCTCTTCTCTCTAACCACGCCTCATAAAACGTTGCAGCTGAAAGAGATCTTATGTCCACCTTGCTGACTTTACTGATGAGAACATTTAGGGTTTGAGCGGGGAAGAAACTTGCCCCGGGTCACATGTCAAGTGACTAGCAGAGTCTGGGTCCCTGACTCATTTGGTGCTCACGTGCTGCTTTGGTGGACACTTAAAATTCACTAGAACTCAGCTTCTTGGAAACTTCTCCCCTTCCCACTGTGACCTTAGGGTGACTTGGTCAAAGTCTAAACTTGGTGCTGGCTCGAGAAGAGGGGTTTGGTCAAGGCCGAGCCCTACCCTGGCTAGCCTGAAGGGCCTTGTCCACCAAGAGAAGGGCCTAGAGAATGGCCTTGGGATGGGCCAGGTTCTCGTTTGCCCCAGGTGACCAGGTTACCCTTTTCTCACACTTCACTCCTGCCTCTTGGTGAGTGCAGCGTGAGGCAGCTCACTTCTGTATGCCTCCGTCTCCTCAAGAATCTGTTTTTCTCACCTGCGAAATTTTGTGGGGCTTATTCAGCAAATGCCAAGAGCACCTGCTCTGACCCCGTGCCTTCCCGGGCCCCACTCAGGGGAGCTCACGCCAGGCCTGTGGGAAGCCCAGGGCACAATAACGGCTGGGTGTTTAGGCACCACGCACGTGGGTTGTGTTGTTTGTATCACCCTTGCCCCACCCACTATAGGACTCATGAACAATCCAGAGATCTAGACGAGCCCCCGGCCTTTCCTCCTTTCTGAGCCTGGCCGTGGCCCCATGTCTCCCGACGATAGCCTCTCCCAGTCTCCTCTGCTGGTGTCTGTCGCCCTGTGTTGAGGTTGCTGATGTGTGTCTCCCTTGAGACTGTCAAGTTGCCAGGGGACAGGGACCATAGGTGACATGTACATGTTGCTCTCCCTGCCTTCACCAGCGCCATTTAGGGAATCTAGCTCAGAATAAGTAAACGTGTTTTTTAATCAACAAAAAATAAGGATCAGTGGGTGGCTGTCTTCCTTGCGAACGCTATAAGGGACATTCTCTTGAAGGCAGAGGATGAGTAAGGCAGGGCGCTTGCTCTCAAGGAAACCCCAGTCTAGTTGCTTGCACCGCCAGCCAGGACAGGAGTTAGAATGCAGCAGGGGGCCTCACAGAGACACCCACAGGATGCCTGGGGAAGAGGGGCTGATGCGGGGTGCAGCAGGAAGGGAGGGAGGGGGCAGGGGCCCGGGGCTACCAGAGTGGGCACCACGCAGACACACAGAAAGTCGCATCTGAGCTGCGTGCCAAGGGACCGCCTGTTTCTATGGTTTTATTCATTACTTTCTTTTTTCTTTTCTTTCCAGTCAAGGCTAAGGGGAGAGAAATTGTGGGAGCAAACCGTTAATGAGAACAGCTGTCACTGGCTTTTTAATGGGCAAGGACAACAGGGGTCGGGTGTTTGCAGGGGGAAGGGTCAGCCTTTGCTGACTGGGCCCTTCTGAACTGTGCTCTCGGCAAGCAGACGGCCTGCTGCTGCATTTCCTTCTCCGTGCTTGGCTGCCTTAGTTCGAGTCTCCTGCACCCCCAATTTAAAAAGGTGCTGGGGGTCCTTCCTTGCTGTCCTCTTGCATATCCCGTTGCACTCTCCATGGGCAGTGAGATGGTGTCCGGGAGGACCAGGGTTTTTTTTTTTTTTTCCAAGGAGGGAAGTGATGGGTCTGACTTTTATCCTCTTTGGCTCTGGCTGACTGTAGCACAGGATAGGAATTTGGTAGTAGTGATTGTAAAGCCCCTCGGAGAGATGAGCCAAGTCGTCCAAGGTCAGAACTGGTCGATGGCTGCCCCCACAAGCCCCCTGACTCTAGACCTTGGCCATGTGCACTGGGCAAGGGAGGATGGTCGCTGGAGCAAAAGGCAGCCAGAGGCAACCTGAGGCAGAACAGCATAGACACCTGCTTCAGGAGCATCGTTTAAGGGTGTCACAGGGCCCTTCCCTACCCTTTGGGCTGATCTGGTCATTGCTTCGGGTTTGTTTATTTATTTATTTATTTTAAAAAGATTTTGTTTATTTATTTGACACAGAACACAAGCAGGGGGAGCAGGAGAGGGAGAGGGAGAAGCAGGGTCCCCGCTGAGCAAGGAGCCCAATGTGGGACTCGAGCCCGGGACCCTGGGATCATGACCTGAGCCGAAGGCAGATGCTCAACTGACTGAGCCACCCAGGCTCTGGTCATTGCTTCAAGTTTTTTTGTTTTGTTTTGTTTTGTTTTAAGAGTTTATTTATTTGAGAGAGAAAGAGAGAGAGTGAGCACAAGCAAGGGGAGTGGTAGAGGGTGAGGGAGAAGCAGGTTCCCCGATGAGTAGGCAGCCCAATGTGGGGCTGATGTGTGCCAGGACCCTGGGTTTATGACCTGAGCCGAAGTCAGATGCTCAAACAACTAAGCCACCCAGGTACTTACCATCGCTTTGAGTTTAAGAGCCTGTTTGACAATGTAAGGACGTTTGGAAAGGAATGATAAATATCTTTCCCTGTCTTTTGCCTACTTAGCTGGGAACACATGATGGCAGGGCTTTGGTCTTATTTACCATTTTTCTCCAAAATGCCTAACACCCAGCCTGGTACTCAGGAGCTCGTGGTCCTGACAGGCTTGGCATCCCAGTGCTGAGCCATCCACTTCACAGATGACATCAGAGGGGCCAGGGTAAGACACCGTGCCTAGTCAGCCCAAGAGCTCAAGAGTGCTCACCTTGGAGGAGGGAAGCCAGTGGGTGGTTGCCCATCACCAGAGCTGTTGTTCTGGCTTTGAGTGTGAGGAAGACAAACAAAGTTCAACCCTGACCTGAGCTGGAGAGGGGTCTGGGCAATCCAGAGGCCTTGTGAGCACCCTGTGTTCACTGGAAGAGGAGGCAGGTGTCAGGCTGTGGCCCCACAGGTGGTACAGTGCCTCAGGTGCTCTCCTGGATTGGTGCAGCGTGGCGTTTGCAGCCTAGGCCAAAGCCCGTGGCCTCCCCTCTATTTGTGTCTTGTGGCAGAAACTTCCCCTCAAGAACCAAGGCTGGCTGTCCCAGTGAATCCCAGGAAAAGCCCAGCACTCCTCTCTGAATGTGGCTATACTGATGGATATGGAAACACGGAGCATGGGGTGTGTCTCCTGGGGTTGGTGAGGGATACCCAGAGGAGGCAGCACAGGATGGTATCAGGCCGCTGCCTGGGTGCCAGGAACCCCGGAATCCCTTTCTCCCTCTGCCCCATCACCGAGCCGGGCTTCACTGGACTCCCCATCACCTTAACAGAGAAGTAACATTCACAAACATGTATTGAGAGCTCCGTGTGTTGCCCATGATAAGCCCTTTTCACAGATCATCCTCAGTCCCCTGAAAATGCCATCCTACCCTGTAGCCATGATTGTCCTCTCTAAAGAGATGAGGAAGGGACGCGAAGGATTGAGTACCACAGAGAGAAGATAGAGGAGCCAGGGTTGTCCGCAGGCGGTCGACAAGGGCCAGCAAGAGCCGGCACTGTGAGATCCAAGGGCCTGGAGGGTCTGGTCTCCTCCTCTCTGCACCCCTCACACCTCCAAGCACACCATACTTCTCACCATTTCCCACCCCCTGAGTGCCCGTCTTCGATGGTGGCTCCCCTTTGACAGAGCATGGCTCTGGTTTCACCCCACCACTGGTGGAACCTTCTGTGTTTCTCATGTTGTTGCTGCAACAGTTACCTCAAACTACAGTGGCTTAAAACAACACAAATTTACTTTCTTGCAGTTCTTGAGTTTGGAATTACAAAATAAACCTCACCGGACTACGATCAAGGTGTTGGCAGGCTGTATTCCTTCTGGAGGCTCGAGGGAGAGTTTGTTTCTTTGACTTTCCTAGCTCCTGGAGGCTGCCTGCATTCTTTAGCCAATGGCCCCTTCCTCCCTCTTCAGATCTTTCTTTCATTTTCTCTGGCCTCTGCTTCCATCACCACATCTTCTGAGATTCCGACTCTCTGCCTCCCTCTGATGGCTCTGTGACTCACCGGGTCTGCCTGGTTAATCCAGGGGAATCTGCCCATCTTGAGGTCTTTAACTTCGTTGCATCCATAAAGCCTGTTTGGCTATGGAAGGTGACATAATGGCCAGTCCTGGGGATTAGGACACATACATCTTCAGGGGACCGTTGTTCGTCTACCACACCTTCTCCTCCCTCTTCCCTGAAGACAGAATTGTCTTGACTTTCTCCTCCTGCTCCCTTGACCCTTTGTGTGATTTTCCTGCTGTGGCCTTCAGCCTGGTTTTATTGTGTGGTTGCCTGCCCAAATGTCTGTCTCCCCAGCTAGATAGCCACTGTCTTATTAGCAGAACCCATGGCTTCACCTTCTGTGGATTCGTCCTTAGGTTTAGTGAGGGTTGGGCACCATAGATGCTCGATTAGCTGAGGTTAAAGAATGAGTCATGAATGAGCTTCTGACCCCAGGCCAGACACTTCCCCTTGGAGCCTGGTTTCTTCATCTGGGCAAATGCGTGTTGCAGGCCCCTCTGTGACCTTCTTCCACAGAAGTTCAGAGGCATAGCGGACTTTGTAGTAACTAAGCTTGACCTCCCTTCTCAGATGGACCCGTCTCCCTGCAGTGTCTGTGAAGGGGGCCTCTCTCTGGGGATGGGGACTTGTCTCTAAGTCCCAAGTGGGTACAGGGTATCACCCTAGAATGTTGGCTGAGTCACTGGAGAGCCTTGGGCAACAGGTTGTGACAGCGAAGCACTTTGACCCAGGTCTGTGGAGACTAAGCCCTATCCTAGCAAACACATGTGTCTAGACAGAAACCAC